TCCATTCCGTCTATCTCTTTCGTTTGAGTATTAGCGACTACATTGCGTTAAATTTGTTATTTCGTATTACTAGCATTAATTCGTATTAATTAGAATATTAAGATAATATGAAGAACGAAGAACTTCTAAGCTGAAGAACGAAGACAACCGACGAGGGAACTTAGTTTTTTATAGGTTTAGGCTCAAGAAAGAAGTCATCCGCCGAGGGATTTTAGTACCGATAGTATTAGATAGTTAAGATTTAAGTTATTTATAAGGTTTATTGTGAAAGGTGGGAAGATGTAGAACTTGTGATTCCATCTACCTGCCTTGGGCCTCCACTCGCAGCAACCTCCTCGTGGTGAGGCCTGGGCAATCGGTATTATCATCGGTAAAGTACTGTAAACTGATGACAATATCGAGCTAATGGCTGCGAACTTCGAATCTATCTCATAAAATCACGTTCAGTGTTACATCGAACTTGGATTATTCTGAGAAACGATATGAGATTGAAAGTTTTGTAAGAATGTCTAGTATTTTGAATGTTGTAATAAAGTATTTGAGATAAAAATACATGAAACTGTTGAAGATTACTTTAGATCTCTTCCCTTATTCTGTATATCTTTGGATTAAAATACAATAGTTGCTGGAACAATGGACATTTTGACAGGATACTGGTATAAATAGAACTTTGACATTTTTCTAAGTTTCATTTGTTTGAGTTGGCTGAAATTCTTAAATATTACATCATTATTATCTTAAAATCTTAACATCATTTATTTACAATAATTTTATTTGTTGCGAGAAATTATATAATGAACTTTAACCCAACTAGAGCTCAGTTAACTAAACTTCCACAATATTGCCAGGTCTGCATTTTCTTCATTTTCCCCATAAAGGAAAGCCTTTATATAGCCTAAAATACCACTAGGTATTGTAGATCAATGCTTTCCATCCAAAACAAATTGAAATAACAAATTTTCGAAGATAGAGATATGTACGCGGTTCAATTCATTCATTAGTCGTAGGGTACATTGGAATGTAAGTTTTCGAAAAGTGGTCAAACAAAGGCACGGAACATATGGCTCTGACATTGTTTATATAACCATCAGAGTGCTGCGAAATGAAATTTCTGAGAAATCGTCCTTGTACGTCTGTTATTCCGTTTGAGGTGGGTCAGTGCTCGTTGAACTAACCGAAGGTATACGTAAAAAGAAAAGGTCGTACCGGCATGTAATATGGTACTGAATATTCTATTTCGTTAAACTAGAAATTGAAGTGGGGCGAGGAAGACAGTTACCTGCACCCACTGAACCTCCAATAACAATGCCCCTAAGATAGCCGAATCAACCCACCGCGAGCAGTCAAAGACGGCCTAAGGGTCATTCGTCGTGCACAAGTTGAAGTGACAAGACGTGAAGTGAATTCGCTCCCATCGAAGTGTACGTGATCTTTACTTTTCACATTTAATCATTTATACAAACTATTAGTGCCTTCATGAGTTCTTTATCGTTACTTTCGTTTACTATTTATTCAATTTCGTGTAAATTATCGTAAATTAATTCGATATTACGGGACAAAGTGATCGGTTTCCACGACTTTCTTTGTCTACGCTGTAGTATTTACGCGTTTCTAATTCCGTTTACAATCTTTTACGGCACACCTCGAGTACAATAGTAGTTTATTTGTAACGAAACCATTGGTAATTTAATGTAATTACTTGGTTTAAACGCGTTTATTTTCTGTTTCAGAGCACCGGTTGGAAAGGACGTGCCCCCTGACACCATGGCAGTTGTAACACTCTGGAAAATTGGTGAAACACGGTAATATGTTGTAACAAATAGGTGATCATTTACTATATATTTTTATTTTATCGTGTTTCTATTATGTCTCGCTGTAAGCATGATCGCGATTTTAACCATCGTGTTTGCATTTGCATACGGTTTCGGTTGTAAGTTTGATTATATAGATACCGCGTAATTGATTGTGCTCATCGAAGCACGGGTAAATAACGAAACTTTGATATTTGTAACGATTTTCTGAATATTTACAAAAATCGGGCCGTGGTTTAGATACAGAAAATGAACGTGCTAACAGCTCTAACAACAAATGTCTTTAATATAATAGATAAATATTAAATATTTACGTATAACATATTTAATATATTTATATTGAATTGAATAATTATTCTGTAATATTTAATAATGTTTAAACTCATATGAATGATTGAAAGGCAATATTTTCTCGACAAACACTTGGTAGGATACAGAAACTAATATAGTAGGCAGGCACAAGTGTGCCTTTTATTTCCCATGTACTTTTCTTTCAGAGAATTTTGTGGCCGCGCGCAATGCGGTCGAATAGAGTCAGTGT